TCGCTTCACTTAAACTGAACCTGTTAATTTCGTGGTTCGGCCAAATTGTTGATGGTGATGGAAAAAATGTTCTGAAAAAGCCCCCAACAACTTATTATATATTTTTAACATTATATTTTTCTAGATCTATAATTTTGTCCAAAGTGGTTACAGCTGCTATTCCTACATCAGGGCACATATAGGAATAGGAGCTGTAAACACTTTGGAAATAATTTTAGATCTTGAAAAATATAATTTTAATAAATATAATAAGTTGTTGGGGGCTTTTTCAGAACATTTTTTCCACTTTCCATTTTTAGCCCAACATTTTCTAACGTGAATTTATGTAAATTGTTGCCGGATGACCAAAAAAGTCACACATTTCATCCTGGAGTCCATAAAAGCAGACATATAATTTCAAAGATCAATAAAATCTGTTGGAATATCCCATAACAATTCCATAACCACATTTTATGCTCTTCCTCTTTTGGTGGTCAACATTTTAAAAGAAGTTGCTGAGAAAGTTTCATACTTTCTGTTGCTTCTCACCATAGCCATAAAACAGGAAATAAATCTCTCCATGAAAACAACAACATTAAAACAAACATAAAATCTTGCCCACATGTACTTCCTTGTTTTATTGTCAACGGGGTATTACCGAGTTTTATTCATGCGGAAAATAAGAAAAAATACTTTAAAGTTGTGAAATGGCGAATGTTTAAGGATGGGATCAAAAAAAGAAAGAAAGAAAATGGGTTTCAAAGAAGATTTGAAGGTATGTGAAGGAAATATTAAATCAACTTTGGAAATAAAACTAAACTCAATTTACAAGAAAAATTGTTAAATATTTACCTTTAAAAATAATGAAAAATAACTATTGCCAACATATTTTTTTTAAGTTTTGAAAATTATTTTTAAAAATATTTACAGAATCCAGGCCTTCAGACAGAAGGGGTAAGGCTATATGTCCATATCCTTAGGAGGGGAATCGGTGAAATGGCCGCCACTAACGAAGTTAGAGAAAAGACTCAATTATATATAGGTGCAGTGCCTACAATGAAGTTGGTCCAAAATGACGAAATATGGACAATTTTTTTCTATGACACCAGTTGAGAGAAAGTTCCATGATATGAAATGATGCTTCTGTGTACAAATAAAAATTGTTAATTAACTTTTAGGAAAATATTGGAGAAAGATGTAAATGTTTATAAGTGCGGTTGTAAGATTTAGAAGACTTTCCAAAAGAATTTTAGTTTAATTTAATTCTTTGGTTATTCTTCTATTGAGCTTACGATCTCGTCACTTGGGTAAAAAATTGTTTTTTGTCATAGAAGTTTTTTAAAAAAAAACTTCCTTCTCCTTCCGAAACCTAGGTATTCCCTGCCTTACCCCCTGGTAAACATTACCATCGTTCTTCACTAATAAACAAACGTTGTTTTTATAAAAACAACAATAAAGGGATAAAGCCTGACAATTTTGCAACAAGAAAATATTTATTTTAAAATATTTATTTAAAAGTTTATTTAAATTATTTTAAATGTTTCTGCTCCGTTTTCTTTTAAAAATATTTAAACAAACCCAGTCAATGGCGGAAAGTGGGAATAATGCCCTAGGCTGGCAACAACCTTTATTTCCATTAAGTATCTTAAATTATTTTTTGTGGATTATCCCCATTATTATTGCACGAAATGGAACTGAACATTGTAGAAGAATATAGGTAGACGCATCAACGCTTGAGAACATTGATATGTCAAAATTTTTAAAATATTTTATTGAAAATAAGTAGAAGTTTTTAATACGAAGCAAATCGGATGTTGTTATAATATCGATTTTTCAACAATTTTTACAAATTTGAATAATTTTTCATTGAAAATTTTCAATTTGAAAACTGGTTTGACAGTTCATTGTCCCAGCAGATGTGTCGATGCGACTACCTGTATTCTTCTACCATGGAACTGAATTTATATTGCATTGAACAAATTTAATATGGCATATGGCAACGCTGTCTGAAATCAATCAGCTGTTAACTAATTGTTTACGTTTGTAAAATGGCAAAAAAAAAACAAGAAATGTAGGTATTTTAATAGTATGGAGGGTATATTAAGTTTGTCATTCCGTTTATAACACCTCGAAATACAAATTTTAGACCCCAAAAAGTATAAATTTTCTTGATCAACATAAAATTCTATGTCGATTTAGCGATATCAATCCGTCTGTCCGACTGTGGAAATCACTCTAGCTTCCGCACGAAATGAAGTAGGTTGATAAAATTTTACTCAAATGTATATTATGTCAGCAGGACTTTTGGTATTGAAAATGGGTCATGTAGGTCCACGTTTTGGTATAGCCCCCATGTAACGGCACCCCCCAATATTCTGAATTTTGATGATTTTAGCGAAATTATTCACCGGAATTCTTTCAAATTTGGTAGTTGAAGTTCGAAATGGATATTACAGCCTACGACATAAAATTGTCCGTGCAGGTCCACGTCTTTCTATAGCACTCATACAATGGTATCTCCCTGTATTCGGTATTTTGATGATATTAACGACATTGTTCACCGGAATTGGGTCAAATTTCGTGTTTGAAGTTCGTAACGGGTACTACAGCCTATGACAGAAAATTGTCTGTGCAGGTCCACGTTTTCGTATAGCTTCCATATAAAGGTTTTTATTTGAGCGGTATTTTCGGTGGTTTTTCTTTTTTGAATATTTTCGGGTTCCTTCCGTATGCTGAAGGAAATAAAAAGTTCGGCCCGGCCTACTTAACAACTTAACTGCTTTTTTACTTCTTTTGTTTTAGATTATATTCTTCCTATGGTACAATAAGGAGGTACAACAGCTTCGCAAAACAACAGAAATGCACTCCTGAGGATATGCCCGCTTCCTGTCAAATTTGCATGCCACAAGTTTTTTTTATTTATTCGATATTTTCCCTCATTTTTAAAATGAGTCATATAGCGTGAAAAATGAATTAAATGTCTTGGTTTTCTTTCAAAAATATAATCTAAAAAGCTTGAACTTTCAAATCCATGGCAAAACTAGGGAATATCTTCAATGCGCTTCCCGCAATGTACATTTCTTCCAATCATTAATTTTGAAAATATTTCGTTTTTTTATTTTTCAAAACAATAAATACATACACAAAATTGGCAGAAGTCGGGCACACTTAGAAAAAAAATTTTAATCAGCTGGTAGCTCTACCTTACCTTTTTATTGTACCATGATTCTTCCCTGACTTTTATGCCCTCTAAAAGACGTGATAATTACAGAATATTTGGTCGGAAATAAATCTAAATTATTTGCTAGCTATACGTGTTCAAATTTGGGGAAGATCTACAAAATATAAATATGACAATTTATGTAGATCAAATAAAAAATTATGTTATCGAGATTACCCATTAAGGTGGGAATACATAAAACGCTTATTTGACTAACTTAAGTCATCGGCTGGCTTCTTCATAGAGGAACAATGGAGTTGTAGGTTGACTTAGTTCGATCCTGGCCCTAGACTCCTTTGTACGTTTCCGAAGAAGCCTGCCGATAACTTAAGCTAGCCAAACAAGCACTTTATGTATTCTCACCTTTAGGCATTTGTTTATGAATTTTTAAGAGTCGCTGCTTTCAACAAATATGATGAACCGATTTGTTCAACATTTAATATTTAATTTAAGGAATTCCAATGGATAGTCATTTTTACCCATCAAGGGACTTGAAAATTCTATCAGTATTTTAAGATAAAATACCAAGAAAAAGTTTTATAAATTCGTAGCCATTGAAATGGGCAATTTGACAAATTTCTTTGCTGGGAAAAGCTTTATCTAGAAGTTGATGCCTAAAAGTATGCTAAGAATTTTGCATTTAACAGAAAAAGCTATATACACAATCTGACATTTCTGAATTTTATTTGAAAAGATATTTTAAAGAATACAAATTTGTTGGACTGAAAAAAAAAAAATTAAAAATTATCAAAATCGTTGTTTCTAAAAAAAAATTAAAAATCCAAAAACGAACAATTTTTTTCAATTTAAGGTGTAAGTACGTAAAAAGCTTGAAGTCATGGCAAGGCATATTAATGTCAAATTATAATGGAAAACGACGGCAGGATTTTAGTGCGGCTCTGTAATCCCTTTATGAAATGTCACAAAATATGCCTAGTCATGACTTCAAGCTTCTTATGTACTTGCACCTAAACTAGAAAAAAAATTGTCAGTTATTGGATTTTTAATTTGTTTTTTTTTTCAGAAACGATTTTGATATCTTATAATTTTTTCCGGTCCACCAAATGAGTATTCTTTAAAATAGTTCTTTCAAATAAAATTCGGAATGTTAGCTTGCGTCTATAGCTTTTTCTGCTAAATACAAAAATTCTGAGCATACTTTTAGGCATCTATTTTTAGGAAAAGCTTTTCCCAGCACCCAACATGATAGTAGAATACAGGTAGTCTCATCGACACAGCTGCTGGGACAATGAACTGTCAATTCAATTTTAAAATTGAAAATTTTCAATGAAAAAATATTGAAATTTTTAAAAATTCTTGAAAAATGCATATCATAGCAACCCCCGATTTGGGTCGTATAAGAAAACTTATAAAAATCTTCATATTTTTGAAAAAACATTTTAAAATTTTTGGCATGTCAGTGGTCCCAGGCATTAATAAATCTATTCGTATTCTTCTACCAACAGACCTAGAACATATCACAATCTTCGTTTTGTCGCCTTTAAATACAACCCTTTTCACTATTTCCCCCCTTTTTTCCCCAAAATTCCTTAATGCAAGAATAAACTATCTTCCCTCAGATCGCTTAAATCCTTTCTAAATATAGTTGTAACATTAAGCGACACCTACCAAACAAAAAAAAAAAGAACAACAACGAGCAACAAAGACCTCCATCAGTTCCCCAGCGTGTGTATTTGCTTCACTAATCCTCAATGGATGCCAGGCTTTAAAGTGCCACCTAAAATGAATACATATGACTCTTGGATAACCACGTTTACCGCTCACTCACTCGCTCACTCACTGTGAGCATACTGGTGTCTTGGTGTCGAGGCAGACATGATATCCCCACACCCCTCCCCCCAGATATAATACCTCCCATCTGTTTCACAGAGTAATTCGTTCGCTCGCTTACTCACATTGTCAGGCATGTGCAAACATGTATTTACGTTGTTTTAGTTTAACGGATGAATCCAATCGGAAATGCATTCCACACACACACAAGGATACTTTTCCCCCCTCCTCCCTTTATTCCCCCATCCTTAGATAATATTCACAGTTGCGGAAACGACAAACATGTAGCAATTTCTTATGTTACATACAGGGTGAGAAGAAAAAAAACTACAACCAACTTCAGACTGCTTTCATTGCTAAGCCACTCATCCGACAGCTGTTAAAATTATTCCAGTGACAGCTCATTATATTGTTTAGAAGAGTACAAAAGCATTTTGCTGAGAATTTTCCAGAACATAAGTTATTCGTGTTCGGAATTCAAGCGTGATTTGGTGTGATTTCTTTATATTTGGCTGGAGAACCACCAGAAGTGGTTTTAGTTAGAGCATTTCCCAGCATTTAAATGTGAATAAATCTTTGGTGTCCCATACCATCGCTCGTTACCGTGGTACTGGCAGCGTAGCCCGACAACGTCAAGGAAGTGGACGGAAGAAAAAAGCAACATCAGCAGAAATGGTTCGAAAAGTAAAGAAGCGGCTTGTTGGAAACCCGTGTCGCAGTGGCCGAAAAATGGCTCGTGAGATGTACATACCGCAATGTTCCATTCGGCAATTATCGAAAAATAAGCTCGGGGCAAAGCCATTGGAAATTCCAAAAAGTACAAGAACTTATACCGCAACAGCAAGAAAATAGACAACTCAAAAGGGCTAAAGAGTTGCTTCGCTTGGCCGAAAGTGGTGAAGTGAACCGAATGTGGTTTTCTCCGATGAGTAATGAGAAAAACAATGAGAGAAATGAGAGATTCGTTGTCCAGCTGATTGTAAACAAACAAAATGATCGTGTTTAGTTGTGAAAGAGGTCAGCTGAGGCAGCTTGGCCACCAAAACTCAAGCGCCGGCCATGGTGAGTAATGGTGTGGGCCGCCATTAAAGCCGATGGGCGCTCTCCGCTCGTATTAATCGACCGTGGCATCAGAATAAATGCCGAATAATATCGCGAAAAAATTTCGGAGGATGTATTAAAGCCTTGGGTACGCAAACATTTTGGCCGCAGGACTCAGCACCATAGCACTCAGCACGCGACACCCAAGAATGGTTACAAAATGAGGGTTCTCGCATCAATTCCAGCACACAATGGCCATCAAAATAAATACCGAATATTATCGCGAAAATATTCTGGAGGGTGTATTAAAGCCTTTGACACGCAAACATTTTGGCCGCAGACCTTGGACATTCCAACAGCACCTCATCATCACCATCGCACTCAGCACGCGTCACCCAAGAATGGTAAGAAAATGAGGTTCCTCGCTTCAATTCCAGCGCACAATGCCCACCACAAAATCTCCGGATACCAATCCCTTGGACTCTTGTGTGTCTGGAGTATTTTGGAAAGCAAGGTTGGCACTAAACCAAATACCAAAGTGTCGATCACCTCAACCAAGCGCTTTGCCGGGAATACCGACAAAATACCGCAGAGCAACACTCGGTCAGGCAGCGTGTGATTGGGTTTCATTGGCCGTTTGAGGGCCATAATTCGTGCCAAAGGTGGCCAATTCGAACAAATCTAAACATATTCTAAAATTTGATGCTATTTCCGATATTTTTTGCTTTCATTCGAAAAAATGCAAAAAAAAATTAACAATTAAAAAAACTGTAAGTTTGGCCGGGACGAACTTTGAATACCCTCCACCATTTGGAAAGAATTTTGACAATTCTCAAAAAAATAAAATTCGTTACAAATTCTGTTAAAATCTTAAAAATACCGAATATAGCTGTTATATTAGGGTCTATACGACGACATGGACCTGCATAGGTAACATTTGTCATAAGCCATTACAATATTCAAATGCGGAACTTAAAAACAAAAAAAAAAAAAAACGGTGAAAAATGTAGCCAAAATCGTCAAAATACCGAATATCGGGAGGAAACGTAATATGGGGGCTATACGAAGACGTGGACCTGCAGAGGCAATCTCCCGTCATAGGCTGTAGTATCCATTAGGAACTTCAAATACCAAATTTGAAACAATTCCGGTGAAAAATGTTGCTAAAATTATTAAAATACCGAATATCGGGAGGTACCGTTATATGAGGGCTATACGAAGACGCGGACCTGCACAGACAATTTTCTGCCATAGGCTGTAGTATCCATTAGGAACTTCAAATACAAATTTTGAAATGTCGCTAAAATTATTAAAATATCGAATATCTGGAGGTACCGCTATATGAGGGCTATACGAAGACGTGGACCTGCACAGACAATTTTCTGTCTTACTTTGTAGCATCCATTACGACATTCAAATTCCAAATTTGAAATAATTCCGGTGAATAATGTCGCTAAAATCATCAAAATACCGAACATGGGGAGGTACCATTATATGGAGGTTATACGAAGACGTGGACCTGCACAAACACTTTTCTGCCATAGGCTGTAGCATCCATTACGAACTTCGAATACCAAATTTGAAACAATTCCGGTAAATAATGTCGCTAAAATGATCAAAATACCGGAAATCGGGAGGTACCGTTATATGGGGGCTCTACGAAGACGTGTACCTGCACAGAAAATTTTCTGCCATAGGCTGTAAGCATCTATTACAAACTTCAATACCAAATTTGAAACATTTCCGGTGAATACTGTCGCTAAAATTATTAAAATACCGAATATCGGGAGGTACCGTTGTATGAGGGCTATACGAAGACGTGGACCTGCCCAGACAATTTTCTACCATAGGCTGTAGCATCCATTACGAATTTCAAATACCAAATTTGAAACAATTCTGGTGAATAAATTCGCTAAAATCATCAAAATATCGAATATCGGGAGGTACCGTTATATGGGGGCTATACCAAAACGTGGACCTACATGGCCCATTTTCATTAACAAAAGTCCTGCAGACATAACATACATTTGAGTGCAATTTTATCAATCTACTTCAATTCGTTCGGAAGTTAGAGTGATTTCCGCAGACGGACAGGCGGACATACGGACGGACATCGCTAAATCGCCATAGAATTTTATGATGAGGAAGAATATTTATACTTCGTGGGGTCTAAAATATGTATTTCGAGATGTTACAAACGGAATGACAAGCTGAATATACCCTCCATACTATGACAGAAAATTTTCTGTGCAGGTCCACGTCGTCGTATAGACTCTAATACACGGCTACATTAGGTATTTTCAAGATTTTAACAGAATTTTTAACGGATTTTATTTTTTGAAAATTGTTAAATTTATACCAAATGGTATTCAAAGTTCGGCCCGGCCGAACTTACAGCTTTTTTACTTGTTTTTATCTCACCCTGTATCTTTGTAGATGCGTTTACACTCACACACACACGCACACAGCGACATTGTCACACATTGAGATGACAATGACAGCCAGAAGTGGCAAAGCAAGGAAGGATTTGAGACATAAAAGACAATCCCAAAGCCAAAAAGAGAATACAAATATTAAGGTAGTTTCAAGGGTTTGCGACCCAGAAATGGAAAATATTTTTGTTATAGGAGAGGAGGGGGTGGTGTTAGGAAAAGGTTATCATTCGACCCCATTTTAGTTGCAAGTTTTCTCATAATGCCATAAATTTAAGGCAGGGCATGACATGGCAGGTCATAATGGTGCCCTAACTTACTCCCCCCTCTTCACCCCCTCCCCCCACACACATCTAAAGGAGGTTCCTATAAAGTTATAATAAACTTGAATCCTGACTTGACTTCTTCTACCCTACTGGCGTATTTAAATATCCTGTGTGTGGGTGTGTAAACGTCACACAAAGATCAACACATTTGAAACTATTAAATCCCCAGTAAAAAATATTTGGAGTAATCCTCAACCGAGCAATAGAGGAGTAATGATTTCTTCATCCATTTGGAGTAATAAGCGAGCAATGTATGAATTTTGTTTTGCCAAAAAATTCCACGAAGTTGGAAAAAAATTGATGTCTCGCCTTATGCTCCAAATGGATCAATAAGGGATGCATCAAAGCATTTTTGGCATGTTTTTTTTTGTTTGATGTAACTGTTGTTTAACTGTTGCTTTCGTCATGTTCGATTATTTCTTTATGGTTGTCCGTCCATTTGCTCAGTTTTCTTGTGTCCGTCTGAAGTGAAACACGTGTTGTAAGTGTAAATAAAGTGTAATTAAAAAAATTAAAAAAGTGTAATTAAAAAAATCAATTGGTAAAATAATGTGTGATAATTTTGTTTCTAAACGTCATCTTAGACGGCTTGTAAAAAAAGAAATTGAAAATTTCTCAAATTGTACTCGGCAGACTCTTACTGATCAGGAACTTTCGGCACCTATAGAAATTAATCAGTCATCAAATGAGGGTAGCCAATCGGAAAACTTTAATATTCATGACGAAATGAATCCAAATGATACGAGTTTCAGCAGTGAAAAAAAAGATTGTATTGATCGGAAGCTTGCTTCGTGGGTAATAAATAATCGCGTTTCCAACGAATGCTGTAATTCGCTTCTTAGCATTTTAAAAAGTGAAGGTATTAATGTTGCACTATGCAAGGAAACATTGTTGAAAGCGTTATATGCAGAAAACTCTTATTGCCCTAATGAGAGCCCGTCAATATCACAAATGCCACCAGGTGAATATTTTCATTTTGGATTAGAAAAAGCGCTGATGATGCATGGCCAATACTTGCTGTTGAATGCAAAGTCCGAATTACTTCTTGATGTATTTGTGGATGGAATGCCGCTTTATAAAAGCTCATCAACGTCATTATGGCCAATCTTATGTTCTTTCTCAGAGTTCAAAAACTCACAACCATTTTTAATTGCTACTTATATTGGTAAATCAAAACCTCCGGATGTAAAGGATTTCTTAAAAAGATTTGTGGAGGAATACATCTATTTGAAAAATGAAGGTTTTAAA